GGACACGGCGGTGCATGCTGCGAAGGCGCTGCACCGAGGGGTGACCAAGGCGGTGGTGCCAAAGGAGGGTCTGGTGCGACAAGGCGCGACACGAGCAGGGGGCCGACAACTGACCTGACCCAGACGCAGACGCAGCTACCTGAGGGGACTCAGTGGTCAGTGTGTACAGGCCCGACCCCGGCTGCCGAGTGAAGGTAGCCAGGTGACGACCCGTCTGAGCACACGTGCAGTGTGTCACACGCTCGTAGGCAGGGGTGAACTGGTGAACACCCGCGTCCTGGAGCGCAGAACCCGCCACCAAGTTCGTAGAGAACGAGGGGAGGTAAAGACCCGACAGTGTGCCGGACGGGACAGCAGGACAAGGGAGGACAGTGGTGGAGGTCGCACGGACTGGACCCCCAGAGGGGTCTGCCAGAGAGACTGCAACCGGCCGACTGAGCGGCGTGAGGGTGGTGCTGTCGCGAAAGAAGGAGCGAGAAGCACCGGAGTCAAGTGTGAAGGTGTAAAAGACCTCAGCAGGCGCAGTACCAGAGAGAGCAGACTCACCAGCACCTGGAGCAGAAGCCTCACCAGCACCTAGGGCAGCAGCCTCACCAGCACCTAGAGCAGCAGGCTCTATACCTGGGTCAGGCGGTACGCACAGGTAACAGACACCGTCAGCACTAGTAGGCAATGCATACATGGCAGTGAGAATAGCATCATAGTCAAGAGCAAATACATCCACCCTCTGCCTAAGCAGCTCCAGCCAGGTGGGGAGCTCAGCCTCGTCGCCAAACTCGGTACGCCAGGCGTCGCTCAGACGGGCGAAGCAACGGGACTGTGTGTGACCAGGTGTCCCGCAAGGCTGACCAGCCCGATCACCTATGCGAATGACGTACGGGCAGCGAACGGGACTCAAAGACCCTCTACTCTGAGCGTACCACTCGTGAAGCTGCTGGGAAGTAAGTGTCTCGCGTTGACGCCGCTGCAGCTGCAGCTGGCCACTGCCAGACGCTCCCAACTGACCAGCTCCAGGGCGACAGCTACGACGGCTACCGCCACAACCCCAATTAGCGTACCACTCACGAAGCTGCTGGGGCGGGAGAGACTCGCGTGGATATCGCTGGAGCTGTAGCAGCAGTAGCAGTAGCAGTAGCCTAGCAGTAGTAACAAAAGGAGCAGCAGTAGCAGCGCGGGCAGGGCAGGCGCGGCAGGCAGGCAGGCAGACAGGCAGGCAGGCAGGCAGGCTGGCAGGCAGGAAGATGGCGCGGCAGCGCGCTAACAAGGCAGGTGCTCACCAGGCGGGAAGGGCAGGCGTACGCCGGGCGAGCAGGGCCGGCGCTCGGCGGGCGGCTGCTCTGGGTCCAGGGGCGGCGTCGCGGGTCCAGGGGCGGCTGCACGGAGTCCAGGGGCGGCTGCTGCAGGGGCCAGGGGCGGCTGCTCTGGGTCCAGGGGCGGCTGCTCGAGGGTCCAGGGGCGGCTGCACCAGGGGTGGCTGCTTCAGGGGCCAGGGGCGGCTGCTCTGGGTCCAGGGGCGGCTGCTCCAGGGGCGGCTGCTGCAGGGGCCAGGGGCGGCTGCTCTGGGTCCAGGGGCGGCGCTCGAGGGTCCAGGGGCGGCTGCTCTGGGTTCAGGGGCGGCTGCTCTGGGTTCAGGGGCGGCTGCTCCAGGGGCGGCTGCTTCAGGGGCCAGGGGCGGCTGCTCTGGGTCCAGGGGCGGCTGCTGCAGGGGCCAGGGGCGGCTGCTCTGGGTCCAGGGGCGGCTGCTCGAGGGTCCAGGGGCGGCTGCTTCAGGGGCCAGGGGCGGCTGCTCTGGGTCCAGGGGCGGCTGCTCTGGGTCCAGGGGCGGCTGCTCCAGGGGCCAGGGGCGGCTGCTCCAGGGGCGGCGTAGCTGGTGCAGGGCAGCGCGCGGGTCCCACAGGTGTCGTGACGGGCGACGGGGGGCAGCGCGTCGTCACGAGAGGAGGCGACGCGCGGGGCCGGCGGCAGGCTAAAACGAGGCCGAAAAACGGGCTACGCGGGCGGCGGACGCGGCGCGCAGGGCCTAAGCGGGCCGCGCTTGGGCGGCTTACGCGACGCGCGGGCCGGCGGCAGGCTGCGCGGGCGGCTGACGTGGCGCGTGGGGCCGAAAACAGGCTAAAAACGGGCCTAAACGGGCCGCGCGCGGGCTGCTTAAGTAGCGCGCGCGGGAAAAAAAAAGAGGCCGCGCGCGGGAAGCCGAGGCGCGCGCGGGCAGCAGGCAAGGTAGGCAAGGTAACGTTGTAGTGGGTGGGCCCTTATCTTAGGTCCTAAAGACCTCTAGGCTCTAGATACCATCTTAGACTTAGAGGCATGAAGTTGTGTGGGATTAGGTCAAGGGGGGGGGTACAAGAAGAATGTCGAGAGAAATATTGTACCCCCTAGTGCTAACCCCCATACAGCCTAGATAACCTAAACATATATCTAACATATATAAATATAACTTGACACACCCTCCCCTCTCACCCCCCCCCCCACCCCTTCCCTTTTTCCGTCCTCTGCGCTCCCCTAACCCCACCCTCCCCTTCCCCCCTCTCTTCCTGTATCCCTCCCTTCCAGCTACTTGATTTCGGAGGACAGTGATGATTCAAGCCTGCGTAATCCGACACTGCTGCAGGAGTTCAGGTGAGTGAATGTTCAGGAATTTTGGATGACATGTATATAAAAGTACATGTAGTTGATTGTGGAAGTGGTTGTGTTCTGTTCAGAGTTAGGGTTTGAGCCCAGCATGGTGCTTGCACAACAAAGAAACCGGCTGAACTGAAGCATGAAGGCGTGACCGACACAAACAGCTTGATGTTGTTCCATTCCTTGGCATGTTTTTTGCCATCCTGTTCCTGGGAGATTACCCTCCCCACTCCCTCTCCCCCCTCCCGCTCCTTCCCCATACAAAATCAGCTTAGTATCTATCCCCACATGCCTTCTGACCCATCACCCTCCCTCCCATCATCCTCCTCACAGGTACCCCCTCCGCCCTCCCTCTCCCATGTCTTTCACTCCACCCAACATCTCACCGCTCCCACACCACCACCCCTGCAGGGACCGTGACAGTGACAACGACAGCCGCATATAGTTCCCTGAGTTGATGGTACTTTTGAGAATTGTCAAAATAACGACAGCCGCATATAGTTCCCTGAGTTGATGGTACTTTTGAGAATTGTCAAAATAACGACAGCCGCATATAGTTCCCTGAGTTGATGGTACTTTTAAGAATTGTCAAAATAACGACAGCCGCATATAGTTCCCTGAGTTGAAGGTACTTTTGAGAATTGTCAAAACAACGACAGCCGCATATAGTTCCCTGAGTTGAAGCAGACCGTGTTCGTCGGGCTTATGGCACATTCTTTCTGAATCCTTGCTCTTTCCTGCCCTGTATTCTTTGAACGCCAGGAAGCCACGTCATGAATTCATCGCCAACAGTACCAGACATGTCCAACGTTACTCCACTTCCCTCTCCATGCTCTCTCCCTCCCCGCATCAGACATTCTCCCATGTCGTTCTCTCCCTCTCTGTGCTTTCCCTCCCCATTCTCTCTGACTCTGTGCTCTCGCCTGCCCTGGGTGCTTCGAACGCCAGGAAGCCACCGCATGACTTCATGCGAAGCTCAGGGAGGTGGCAGCAGCCGACATTGCCAACGTCGCCAGGAGAATCATCTCCTCTCCCCTCTCCATGGCTTTCTATGGTGATGGTGAGTCCACACTCTGATGGCATGCTATGGTCATCTGGAGTTCCTCATTCTGGTTGCTCCAGATTGTGATAATAGAGCAGGCGTTCACGTACTCATGGCCTTGTTTTTCCGAATTCAGCAATTCCTAACAAATAACGTGCCCAGCGTTTTTCAATCCGTCCTTCCCCCTCTTCACTCCCTTTAAACCCCTCCCCCTCCGCAATTGCATTGTTGTTGCCCCGATTTTCCAAGCCTGATCAGACCACAATATGAAATCTACCCTCCTGTGTCCATCCTCCAGTTCACGTTCTTCCGTTCGACCAAGTTGCGGCTCCTTTCCGCTTCAACTACGTGTGAAAGCTGATGCCGAAAATAGCGGTTCTGTGGATCCACAAAGCCACGTTACCACCTCAAGCTAATGAAGAGTACGCATGGCACTTGTCCTGGGATGTCTCACATCTGGTTTCTTAGGCATGGTGTTTGATAAGAGTTGGGGTACATCATAGAACGGCGTTGATACAAACTGGCATGCATATCATGATATGAGCTGCTGTATAAGTTGTATCGGCCTCGTGGATTGTGGGGTGCTAGGAGAGAGAGAGACAGAATTGGGTATGCTGTCTTTTGGCGAATAATGCGAAAATATTACAGTATACAAAGCCAATTTAACATAGTAGCGAGGCGCCTAGCTTATAGGGTATGAATGCCGTGCCTCACAAAGAACAGCGACCATAGCACAGTGTGACCCTGGTTACTGGAGTTCCCAGTCAGCACATCGCGAAAATTGGCTTTCCACTGGCGACAAATTATAGTTTTCGTCTCCTTCTACGTTTCGCCAAATTTCGTTCGTGCAAACTGATGCTGCAATAACCGTTCTGTCAGAGGCACACGAATAGTCACCACATCGCAACACAACAAAGCTGCGGTACTTTCTAGGTTTTCCGCCTTCTAGTTCGCCGTGAAAAATGTCAAGCGACCAGCGACACCCTCACGACTCCGACCAGACAGCAGCAACCTAACCGTCTGAGTACTGGGAAGCCGTTGTTATAGGGCAGCCGTTTATGTCGCTCGCGATGCGGCTGCTGCATGTCGTTAGACTCGCAAGCAGCCAGTTAACTGTTTCCCAAGCTCGACCGAGGGGATGTGATGGGGTGCCATCAGAGGAGCGAGCTTGGACGAGACGGGAGCGCGGCTGATTTCGATCAGGCGAATGACTTGCAGTCGTTTCGTTTAACCGTCGCTTGATCCATACGGAGCAACGTCGCTGCCGTGAGTGACTCACATAGAGCCGCCGGTTGAACTTTCAGCGTTCCCGCTGCACATCAGTCCGCGAGATTCGATGAGATTCGCGGAAGGACCACGTGGACGAGATAGGAGCGCTTCTCAGGGCGCATGGCGCGTGTCCCACGTGTCAGCGAGATCTGCAGCCTCGCAGATCTGCTGGAGCTCTCCCTACCGACCGACTTTCGGCATGTCGCTCTCCGTGTCTCACGGCAGCTCGCAACGTGCAGCAGCGGCCGCGCAAAGCGGACATGCCGAGTGGGAATGCCAAGCGAGTGCGTGAGGAGAGAAGAAGCAGGTTTGCAGTGGCAATGTGAGGGGAACGATTCCTGTAGGCAGCATGGCAGTCGACAGCGACTCTTGCCGTGCCATCCTGACTGCTCACCTCCTCTCCATTGCCGCTGCAGTGGTGATTCCCTTAGCAGGAGCTGCAATTCCTTACCAACACCAGCAGCAGCAGGAAGGCTGATTCCTCCTCCGTGCCAGAGGAGAGAAACCCTCCCTTAGCATCATCCACGCACCGCATTTCGCGGTCTAGCGCGACTTATAAAGCGGCCGTGATGACGACCATGAAGTCATCAGCTCACCCTCTGCTCCCTCTAATCCTCTCACTAGCCAATTCATTCCTCTCCGCATGGCGACGGCTGGCATGCGCGTGCTGGTGCTGGCGGCGCTGGCGGTGGGGCTGCTGGCGGCGGCGGTGAGTGGAGCGCGGGACGCCATGAAGGTCGCCAGGGGCCTCGTCCCATCGGAGGGGGGCGCGCCTGGCGGGGCGGGGGCGGCGGGGCAGCAGAGGAAGGGCGCGCGCATTCTGGCGGCTGAGACCTTCGCTCACAACGCCCCTCTGCCCGGCTACCTCGACCACATCCCCCGCCGCCAGGCCCTCGCCACCTGTACGCAACGCTGCTCCCTCTCTTCCCTGCTTTGGTTCTTTGCTCTGCTGTTCCTTCCTTCTCACTGCCCGTCCCTGCTCTCCTTGCCTCTCATTTTGCTGCTCTCCTTGCCTTTCCCTGGTGATTTCATTCTGAAGTTGTTCCTTTTACGTGTCTCTACCCCTAACCCCTTGCCTACTCGCATGTGGGCGCACGACGGTGACGATCCGCTCACAGCTTAACCTCTTTCTCTTTCCCTCTCCCCTCCCCCTTCCCAGCCTGCGGGCGCACGACGGTGACGATCCGCTCGCAGTACCTGGGGCCGTACGACCTGCACAACGTAACCTCACTCCTGCCCCCTCTCTCCCCTTTTCTCCCTCCCCTCCTTCCCCTGTCCTCCTCCCAGCATGTGGGCGCACGACGGTGACGATCCGCTCGCAGTACCTGGGGCCGTACGACCTGCACAACGACATCTACAACATGACCTTCTACAACGGCTGCGCCTACAACGTCACCAGCCCGCTGCGCGTGTGGCAGTGCTTCAACTTCGGCAACGTGTGGGAGGGCATCCTCGACAACCCCGATCCCAACCCCTCGCAGTACCAGCAAGGCGAAATCTTTGTGCAGACGACGCCGGGGTACTGTGAGATGCGCATGAACCGCGGTGCGAGCGGCACTCTGCAGATGCTCCCCGGGGAGACGGTCAACATTGTGTATGCGTACTTGTGGGACTTCCGGCCCTGCGTGCAGGAGCTGCGCTTCGGCAACGGCAACAGCTACTCCATGACCAACACCACCGAGTGCCAGCTCGCCCAAACCATCTAGACCTCCTCTATAGGGTGACTTACTACCGGCTTAAAATATGAAGTTTGAGGGGTGGGTTACAACAGGAAGGGTCACAGGAGAGGGAGGGGTTAATAATGCATGAATAGCATGAGTATTCTGCACTAAATCTGCACTCTGTCTTCTTGACGTACTACGCCAAACACTTCTCAATATACTTCACAGCTTTTTCAAATCAAAGCTGCTCTGAAATTGGTACTGTGCATTTGACGTTCTGTCTGCACACGTCCATCCTTCGCACTGCCCTATTTTTCCATCCTCCACTGTCCCCATTCCCATACTCCCCTCCCCATTGTCTTGGATGCTCCCTTCTCTCCTCCCCATCCCATGCTCCCATCTGTCCTGGCCAATGATAACTCATCCCATTTCCTTCCACTCCTACCCATTCCTATCCATTTCATCCTCGAGCATTCCCATCTATTCCCCATGGCATACTTTCCCATATCATGTCATGTCATGCCCTCAACTGATACAACCCTTGCAACAGCCTACCGTATGTCCAGAACTCCAGCTAAGGGTGCTTGCTTCAGGTGGATTCGGGCATTACAACATTCTTTAGATAGCTCTTACATGCGTAGGACATTCAACCGACATGCTCCGTACCATACGGTACTAGTAAATACTAGTAAAACGCACGCCACAACGCATCCCTCCCTGCCCATATTTTCAGTACCCCTGTGCAGGGAACGGCAGCACATAGTGTTTGAGCATTGTGACATGATATATAAAAGACGGGGTGACCACCAGATATCCCACTGGCAGTCAGCCTTTCTTCCGTAGTGCTGCCAAAGCCTTTCGCAACCTTCCCCATCCACTCTTGTGCTGCTCCTGCAGCAGCAGTTTCTGGTGCTTCTGGGGCACATGGTCAGCCTGCGGTTTATAAGGGGAGATCTGTCCCCCATCTGCCCCGCCCTTTCCGCCTGCCTCGCCACTGCTTTCCTGCTGCCCCCCGGCACAGTCACCACGTGCGGCTGATTCTGCTGCTGGAATTCCCCTTCCATCTCCTGCCGCCGCTGCTGCTGTGGCTGTGGCTGTGGCGGTGGCGATGGCTGCTACTGTGTCTGCTGTTGCGGTTCCTCCTCTTCCGTTGTTCGCTGGGCTGTAGACGCCACCAGCACCAACTGCTGCCACTGTCGCTGCTCGTGCTGCTGTGGGAGATGCAGAATGCAGCAAACGGAGGGCTGCGATGGCGCGATCCAGCGTATCAACGGCTCGGAAGAGACGGTGGTCGCTTGCACTCGCCGTGAATCCATTGCTACCGGGACCATAGTCTCTTGAGGCTCTCAGCCCGTATCGACCATTCTGTGTATCCTTCCGCTCTCGAGTATGCAGCACTGTAGTACCCCTCCCTATAGACACCTGGCGTGCAGTGCCACTTTGGTGCGACGATTCAGGAACAAACACTTCAGTCTTTGCAGCTCTGCTAACACCAACCCCTGCCTCCGCCCCCACATCCTCCCCTGCTAATCCTGCTCCTCCTCCTGCTCCCCCTGATACTTCTCCTCCTCCTGCTCCCCCCTCAGGCACCAGACCACCCACTTTGCTTCCAACTTCCATCTGCAACCCTTCCGGATTCCCACTCACCTTCACCTCCCCAACCCCCATGCCCTTTTCCACTCGTCTTGCCTCCACATTCCCCCATTCCCCACCCTCAACTATCTCCACCCCATCTTCATCAATGCTGCCATTGCTGCTCGCTCTTCTAGACACAGACGCCACAAGGGACTCGATTTTCGCCTCTACCTCTGCCCCTAACTCTCTAAACGACTTCTCCTCGTCTTCTTTGCTGGCTAAAATGATTCTTTCCCCAGCCGCCTGCCCGTTTTGCTGACCGCCCACCAATTCCTGGTGCTTCCGCTGCTGCTCGGCCTCCAATTGCTGCTGTTCAGCTGCCCGGGCAGCCCGATATTTCTCCATGGCTGCCCGGACGTGATTGTAAAGGGGCTCATCGTGGAGAGCCTGGCGAAACGCCTTCCCCTTGGTGCTGTAGGGGTCGTCGTATATCCTGGCTAGCTCCTGACGAAAGAAGGGTGAGCGGGTGAGAGGGGGAGAGGGGGAGAGGGGGAGAGGGGGAGAGGGGGAGAGGGGAAGAGGGGAAGAGGGGAAGAGAGACACAGGGGAGGGAGGGGAGAAAGGAATTGGGTGCATTTCCAAACGCTGCATAAACCACAACACAACACACTTGAACCCTATTTTGTTTCAGCAAACCACCACAACACACTCACACAGGCGGAGACAGGCTAAGCAAACCTCTGTCAACCACTCCACACACCCCTTAAACCACTCTACACGTCTTTGAACCATTCTACACTATGCAAACGACTCTACACACTCTGCAGACCACTCTACCCACTTTTGCAAATCACATGAAACACCTCTGTGAACCACTCTACACTTCTGCAAACTACTCCACACACCTCTGTGAACCACTTCACACACCAGTAAACCCACTCTACACACCTCTGTAAACCACTGGTACAAGATTCCACCACACTGCTGGATAATAAAGTTGACGAGCGCAGGAGGGAATTTGAGGTCCAGCGTGAATATGCACCTGTGGGATGAGATACACAGGGGTGTTAAGCGGTACAGAGGGTTGATACGGCCACAGGGGTGATACTAGGCATAGCGTTGAGGGCATCCATTATGACATGAAGAGGCAACAGTGCTGCAGAAGGGTAGATATGAAAAGACATGGATAAAGGTGATGCAATGATGTGAAGAAAATGATGCAGGTGATGCAAACATGGGAACGTTGCAGGTGATGCAATCATGTGAACGTTGCAGGGGTTAAAAACCACGCCCACTACGCTCACATAATTGCATGCTCGCCGCTCTCCCATCCCCCCCATCCTCACGTCACAATTTGCCCCTTACAACCGACCCCCCCAGGTCAACACCAAAGGCACCTCATGTGCGCTCGGCCCTCCCCACCCACGTCCTTCACAGCGTTAACCCCCCCTCATGCCCAGCTGACTTATGAGTCAACTCAAAAGTCCACAGCGTTAACCCCCCCTCATGCCCATCCACATTTGCCCAGGCAAGGACGGCGGGGCGGCCTCCTGCCCTCCCTCATGTTATCACGGCACATCTTAACTCCCACCCTACCTCTCATCCTCCCCCTTGTCCTCCCCCCCACCAAACGCACCTCATGTGCGCTCGCCCCTCGCCCATGTCCTTCACAGCGTAGCCCCGCTGATGCCCATCCGGATGTGTCCAGGCAGGGGCGTCTACACGCCACACCTTGCCCTCCTATCAGCCACTCACTCCCCCTTGTCCCCCACCCCCCCAACGCACCTCATGTGCGCTCGCCCCTCGCCCACGTCCTTCACAGCGTACCCCCGCTGATGCCCATGCGCACGTGCCCACGCAGGGGTGCCCACACCTTACCCCCTGGGCCCCTGCCACCTACTCCCCCCTCTTCCCCCCAACGCACCTCATGTGCGCCCTGCCTTCGCCCATGTCTTTCACAGCATACCCCCCGCTGATGCCCATGCGCACGTGTCCAGGCAGGGGCGCGGGGGCGTCTTCCTGGCTGTACCCGCGGTTGGTGAAATCCGCAGTTACGGGGTTCTCGGGCAGCTGCAGGGAGGGAGAGAGGTGGAGCACAAATGTGAAAGGTTGCAGGGTACGGTAAGGAATTGTTGCATCAGTCAGCGTATGTTTTTTGAGAATTCTCAAAAAACAAATGTGAAAGGTTGCAGGGTACGGTGAACGAATTGTTGCATCAGTCATGTCATGAGAGTCGAGACGGCTCCTCCCGGCCGTACCCGCGGTTGGTGAAGTCAGCAGACGGTGGGTTCTCAGGCAGCTGCAGGGAGGGTTGGGGGAGAGGAGTGGCTAAATCAGTCATACCAAGGGGCTTCCCAGCTGGAAGGGCCACTTTCATGTGAAGGGTCCCGCCTCCTGTACCCACAGTTGGTGAAGTCAGCAGACGGTGGGTTCTCCGGCAGCTGCAGGGAGGGTTGGGTTGGGGGTCGTTATGTGAATTGAAGTGCCTGCCTAAAGAAGTGCCTGAAGGGTCCTCGGGCAGCCCAAGGGGCAAGGGGGGTGTGGGTGGGTGTGGGTGTGTGTAGGTGTGGGTGGGTGTGTGTGGAAGACTCACCGTTCGCAGCACGGTGACAGTCATGCCGGAGGCGGCATCGTATACCGTCACAAATATGAGTGCAAACTCCTGCGGGGATAGCGGCCACGGCACCTTGAACCTGCAGCGGTGTGAAGGGGTGGAGGTGGAAATGCAAGGAGTGGAAAGGGGTGGAAGGGGGGTGGAAGGGAATAGGATAGGGTGGAAAGAGAAAGTGGCCAAGGAGAGCCAAATCAAGCAATAGACGAGGGTCAAGGAGAGAACAGCAGGACGGGCGGGCGACTGGGAGGGCAGAGGAGGGAGACAGAGGCGAGAGAGGAAGGGGAGAAGGAGGAGGAAGGTGGTGCGGAGGGGGAGGCAGGTTGGGGGAGTAAGGGAGGCAGGAGAAGGGAGATGAGCATAATGCCACGCTATGCCACGGTATGCCACGGTATGCCACGGTGTACCCCGTTGGTAGTGGGTGCCTCTACCAATGTGCTGTCACGGTATACAGCATGCACCATATGAAGGAGAGGTGGAAGTTTCCCCGCAGGCGGATGGCACAGCATGACACAGCACAGTACAACATGGTCCGGCACGGTATGACATGGTAAAGCACGGTACGACATGGTACAGCACGGTGCAGCAAGGCATGGGACACGCACCGCATGAAGGAAAGGTGGAAGTTTTCCCCCACGCGCTTGATGTATCTCGACTCCTCACAGCGGTGCGGCGGCATGCTGATGTTGGGCCACCTGCAAGTAGGGGGTTGCAGACACAAGACACGGTTAGCTTGTGGCGCATCAAATGCACATCTCCTCCTCCACTCGTTCCCCCACGCGCTTGATGTACCTCGACTCCTCACAGCGGTGCGGCGGCATGGTGACGTTGGGCCACCTGAGGGAAGAGGGTTTCAGGATGAAAGGCCCGGTCAGTTTGTAGCGCCTCAACGCACACCTCCCACTCTCGCTCGAAACATTTGGATTCCTCACAGCGGTGCGGCGGCATGGTGGGAGGGTGATGTTGGGCCACCTGAGGGAAGGGGGTTGCAGGGTGGGAGTGACACTACGTTTTTGCCGCTTCAATGTCAATCTTCCCCCCTTCCTTACTCCTCTCACTATCTTTCATGTGTAAATGATAATGCTTGGACACTTGAGCAAGGGCGGGAGGGGCGGGAGAGGCGGGAAGGCTGGGAAAGGTGGGGACGAAAGGATGGGGGGTGGGGAGGGCGGATCTTGTGGATGTGTCAACGAGCATGATCCTTTTAAAGCATGATCCTATCAAAGCATGATCCTTTTAAAGCGTGATCCTTTTAAAGCATGATCCTTTCAAAGCATGATCCTTTTAAAGCATGACCCATGTCAAATTTCAACCACCACTCATGTCAGCCACTACTGATCAAAACACTCGTTACATGCAAGCACTGGCCACTCCTTGAAAAGAAGCGAGCATCGCATGACATGACATGGCACGAGAGCGGCATCGGCCGGGGCATGACTTTCGAGTCGACTCAAAAGTCAGCTCGCTCCCATCACTATCGTTCCACTCACCACTCCTTGAAGAAGGGTGCGTCGCAGGACATGGCGAGGGCAGCATCGGCCGGAGCATGCACGACGCCCTCGATTCACGTCGTGTGGACCGCCGTGCCGTTGGGCCCCGGGCGGTGCAGCGTGCGGTACTCTGTTGCTTGCTCGCACGGCTGGAACAGGCAGCGTGAGGGGCGAGGCAGGAGGAACAGGGGAATTTTGGGTGGTGCGGTGAAGGCGGATGGGGAGACGTGGGTGGGACAGGAGAAAGAGGATGGCGAGGGAGGGCATGAAAGGGAACGTGAAGGCCGCCGCCGCTTTTCTTTTCCTCCTACCACAACCCGCTGCCAGCACTCATCTGCCCTCCAGTCGCATCCGCCAATCAGCCAATCACCTTCCATCGCATGTCCTTGGCCCCATGGCCCGCAGCTTTATCTTTAGCGCCGCCCGTTTTCTCAGCAGCGCCGCCAATCCGCACGGAACGCAGATCCTCCAGCAGCCCCGCCATCTGCGCGCTCCAATACCCCACCACCGCTTCATTATCGCCCGCTATGCCACCATTGTTTTCGACTTTTCCGATGTCGTCCTTGACTTGAACTCCGTTCATATCTTTCGGGCTGTCAATAGTAGTGCCGTTGTTCTTGTCGCGTTGACTTCCGCTACGTTCCAGGCTTTGTGTCGTCTCGGTTGCGCCGGACGATACAACGCCATCCGCGGGTTGTCCGCTCAGCTGCGCATCCGTGGATTGTCCGCCCAGCTGCGCGCGGAAAAGATCGGTGACTGATTCGCGGCTGGTCCACGGGAGCGACGCGACGGACCTGTCGAATGCGATCACGCCCTCTAGCAGCGCCATTCGCGGTGATGCTACGCGGATGAGCCTCTTTTGGCGAGGCTGTGTGGATGGTATAAGGGGACGACTACGGGGCCATTTTTATGCGGATGATTTTAGCGAGGTCGCAACGCCGCCTGGAGATTCGAGTTATGCTGGTGGGTCGGATAACTGCGAGGCGTTGCGGGGAATGCGCTAACGGGGAAGAGTGTACACAGCTGGAGACCTGACTTCTTTGTATAAATATACTGGAGAACGGTAAAGCTAGGTGCTGCTCTTTTAGGGGTGTCTCAAAGCATGGTGAAGCGACGTGTTGTTGTGACTAGATGCTTCACAACAGCTCGTCGCTTCACAACGAGCTCGATTCGCAGGTCGTTGCTCGAGGTCCTAGTGAAGTCAAAGATTGCGCAAAAAAATTGCTGACTTACGGCGCGGCGGGGTAGTGAAGTGCCAACGAGAAATCGCTGCCGGAGTGTTCTCATGTTGCATTTGTGCCCCGGCTGGGAAAACTCGCAGCTGCCAGAGCCAGCAAAGGGAGAGAGACCTTTTCTCATTGTTTCAATGCTTCCGCATTCCCGCGGAGCACGGTATGGCGCGAAGCGAACAGCGCAAGCACTGGAGAAGGCACGGAACCGAACCGAAGCAAACTCAGCGGTAGCGCCCAAGTTGTGGAGGGGCGTGTGAGCCCGACCGACATGGGGGTGGGATCTCCAAGGAATTCGGTTTGGTCGGTGGTGATGTGATGGCATGGCACAAACAAGCCGGTACCTCCCTGAACTGGTTTGGTTTGGACCCCGGACCGGACCCGGAGGCAAGGCAGACGCTACAGACCAAGCAAACGAGAGGTTGACGTTGACGTAACGTTGGGAAAGCAAGTGCACTGTATTTCGGAAAAGTGCATCCTCGTAATGAGGAATGAGCCAAACCTACTGTAGATTAAATCACATAGTGCAAATAATCAGATAAGTCCAGATGTGCCAACCAAATTCTCAAAGATGTGGCGCATTTCGTCAATCACTTTCTCATAGCGCCAGTAGGAATTGGCTGATGCAATATGTGTCGAAGTCCTCCTCAGCCTGTGATCTTCAATTTCGCAATAGCGATCCTTCCAATCAGCAGGCTCAATTGCCTCCACACCCAAGTCAGGAACTCGATCCTTGGACTGCAACCTATCCATCTGCGTCCAGTCAGCCACAAAAGTGGAAGCCCTCCTCCTGAACTTGGTCTTGAATTCGGGCCATGCCTGGTACTTGTAGTGGAAAATAGCTCCATGTGTATGGCCCACATTTAGTGTGCAGTACTGATGCTTCAAGCTTGTGAAATGATGTATCACGTTGTGAAATGGAGGATCTAAAGCTTCAGTCAGGATAACTGACTTGTGGCGATCAGGAAGCTTCAGCCTGCACGTGTACCCAGAAACAACTCCCCTTTCTGGATGCCCTTGGTGACTGGATGGGCCAAATATCAGGCAAGGCAGAGCAATCTGCCCAACCTGTTCACAGGAATCATGTCTACCTGTAGCCATCGCTGCTGCTGCATGTTTCTTAGCCAGACCTTTCACGAACTTGCGGAGAAGAGAAGCATAATGACTTCCAGCTGCAAAAGGTTTCTGTGACTCTATTTTCTTCACCATCCGTGCCGGGAAGACGAACTCGTCCACATCTACGAACATGACCCACGTGCAGAGCTTCTTGGCTTGAAGAGCACAATGAGAAAAACCGCCTTCCTGACACTTGAGCCAGGGCCAGCTACGAATTGTGGTTGAGAATCCAAAACCTCTTGCACGACCAGTCTCCTGTGCTTCTTCAACGGATTCCTGAAGCCCATCTTCACTGCCATTGTCATACACAAAGAAATGCTCCACACCAAGAAATCCATGGTACAGGAGCCACTCCCCCATAAACTTTGCGCTGTCCAGGACCATTGTGCATGCACACAGGTAGTACTGCTTCACGGGGGACTCGTCAGTGGATGTGTTGGCATGGGGATACCCATCCCGGAGAGCAATGTGTCCGCTTCTCCTGGCTTGACTGTGGTTGGCTGCATGTAGTGTCTCGCCATATACTGAGCTGGTGGAATTGAGCGTGGAATTGGGCCTACAGACGGAAGCTACAGAGGGTAAAGGTGATCCATGTAGTGTTAGCGTGACTGGAAAGTCGAGACAGCCACATGCTGACTGTGTAAAATTGGTCTGAGAAATTGGACAGAGCGTAATCTCCTGAGAGAGTATCAACGGAGCTGTCGCAACTCCGTTGATCAGGCACTTGATCTGACCGTGGAGACTTCCGTTGTCAAGGTGAGCAATGCCTTTCGCCCAGACATACAGGCCTTCGGGTTCAGCTGCCGCTGCATACACTAATCCATCCCATGACGCCTGATGAACCTTGCGAATGAGCAGATCCACGATGCCAGAGTCGTAATAAATCCGCAGCGTAGTGGGTTCCATGGTTCCATCCGTTCCATTATCACGCGAGCATATGGCGTGGAGGGATTGGTCGGCGAAGTATACGAATGTAGCGTTGGTCCATGACGTTTCTCCCAAAGTAATGAACCCGCATTTTGCGAAGGTAATCCGGCGTTCCGCAAAATCTTTGTCGATACACTCGTTGCTGTTAACTTGGAAGACTGCCAGGAACCTGTCTTCTGGTAGCTTGATCGCCGTCAACTCCCCCTGCCAGGCTTGCATGTGATCTTGCGATTGACTGAAGCGATAAGAGGATTCTGTCGTGCGCAGGCTCCATATGATAACTGCAAGGAACAGTCAACTTCAGAAGAATGTACAGCGAACATCACACATCGCTGTCGATACTCACGCATCAACAAACACACAGCAACGCTTAGGCAAAAAGGGACTGCACGCCGTGCTAGCTCTCCAGCAGTCGACTGTGAAAATGCAGCTGAAGAAAGCGTTGAGGTGCTAGGCACACTGCCAGACGGTCGCGTTTCACTCCCCGATCCCTCCGTCGACCGTCGGATCCGGATCAGCGTGTGCTCCATGAGGGAGAACCGTGGACTGGGCTGACTTATTCTGACAATGTTGCAAATATTCAGGGAAATATGTGCATTGGAGCTGATGTTGGCAGCAACATAGCCCTGAAGGACTTCTTTGTGTTGGCTTCGCGAGTAACTTTCTTCGCGATCTTACTCCAGAGGCAGGGAACCCGGTATGAATCTCCATACAAAGAGTTTCGCCACAGCATCTTTCCAGCTTCCCTGTGCCAAACAGCTGCAGCGAACTTTTTCGTCAAAATCGTCCCTCTGGTGCGAAGTGCGACAGTGTTTTTGCTGCAGTGTAGTTCTCTTCAGCAGCAAAATAATTCGACCATCGATACAACCTCTAGGATTTCCGTGAGCTGGATATTGTACCCTAAATTCCGCCATGGCTTCCGCATCATCCGCCCAGCCGGCCATCAGATGGTCAAGTAGGCTGGTCGTAACGCTGAAGCGTGGATTGGCAGGAAAGAGGTCCGATCAGAGGGCTACCGTCGTTGCCCTAGGCCTGCGGAAGCGAGAGTCAACGGTTGAGCTGCCTAACAACCCGTCAGTCATAGGGATGATCGAAAAGGTGCGCCCACCTTCCAGGTTATTCCTTACCAGTTTCTGTCGCGGAGTTTATTGTAATTGCGGAAACTTTGATTACTCTGGACCCTTTGAGGTCGATCCACTAATGCAAGGCTTGAAAAGGTGGCTTCCTCAACAGGCCTTGGACTTTCAGACCTCCTGTTCGTGCACGGAGCCCATTCTTGGGGAATATTATTAACGCTGTATTTCGACAAGGCACTGACCCGTTGTTTTCTTCTGATGGCATGATTTGCAGGTCAAACGGCTGGTTCAGGTGGAAACCAAGGAGATGTACGAAGAGAGACTGGCAGCAGAGCGGCAACGGAAGGAATGGAGGCCACCACTTATTGTCAGACACTTGCCAACTCAAACTGCGCAAGAAGTGTCTCCTTAGATAAGCTCCTGACACGAGGTGACAGACACGCCTTGCTCTTACCCACCATTATGTCTTCACAATGCAGCCATTTCTGCTCTCTGGGCTTACTCCTGCAGTGGGCTTTCTTCAGCAAGTTGCAGCAGGCTATGATATCTATCTTGTAGGCATTGTATTGTAGGTATAGTGGCATCAATGAATACTGTAGTTTTGAGTTACAGCTCCTGTAAATGCATGAGAATATGAGCACATATGATCAGCTACCGGTAGTTACACATACGGTATGGTTCGTATGTGACACAAATCCCTGGAATTGGCCAGGCTCATGCCTTGTATCACCCTGGACTTCTGGAGAACTTGAGGCCAAAAAAACCCTTGCGCCAGGGTCTCTTCCCACCCTGCTTCTTGTTACCCTTGCTGCTTGCATCATCCCCTCCCTCAGTTAACCTCCGCCCTTCATCCCTCCCTCCCTTCCCTCCTAAGGGGGCCGAAGATGGCCGCTCAGCGGCACTTCCACTTGCCTCTGCAGCATTGGTGACTGGCACAGGCACGTCCCTGCTTGTATCTGTGCCCTCTTGCTGTTCTGCTGCTTCAAGCTCTACTGCCACCGAGGGAAGGGGTGCAGCAGCTGCTGCTGATGGTGCTCTTGTGACTCCATGTGCTGCTGCCGCTGCTGCTGCTGCTGCTGATTGCGATAAAGATGTTTCTGTCGCTGCTGTTCCTGATGTTGATGCTTGGACCAATCTTGCTGCTTCAGGCTCAAGCCCCTCACCCCTCACATGATCGGCAGGACCTGCCGATATTGTCCTGGTCAGCATCCACACCCTCTCCTCAGTCCCCCCCTCCCCACTCCCACCAGTCTCCCCGGCATCCCCATCCCTTCCACTTTCACCCTGCCTGGGTGCGGGCCGGAGCTGACCACTGTAGCTCCAAACCTCTTGCTTCGGTGGTACCAGACCTGGGAGCCCAGCAGCACCACTGCCTGCAGCAGCAGTTGCTGCCTGGCGCTGAGCTGCTGCTCTGGCTCTCATAAACGAGATGGCTCTATCGAGAGTGGTAACCGCATGGAATATTGCCGGGTCCCTCTGCTGTAACTGCCCATACTGGAGACCTTGAGCTGCTGGTGAAGTGCCTGCTGCTGCTGCCTGTGCAGCAGCGGGTGGTGCAGGGGCCACAAGTTTCCTGGGCGAGGGAGGGCGTGGCGGTCTCGCCACTGACGCAGGGGAGGCAGGCTTGGCCGTCCGTGCTGCAGGCGGCACAGGTGCAACAGCTTCCTCTGCTAACGCTTCAGCTGCATTCATGACTCCCACACCACCACCAGCAGCACCATCAGCTGCACCATCAGCAGCAGCAGCACCAGGAACCTCACTCTCGCTCCCAGACGTGCCTGCAACGAGCCTCTCCACTTCCTTCTCCACTCGCTCCCCAATTTGTCGGAACGACTCCGCCTCACCCTGCTGCTGCAGCTGCTCCCTCTCCTGCCTCGCCCGCTCGCCCTGCGCTGCTGCTGCGGCTGCGTGGGAGCGCATGGCCCGGCCCACGGAGTAGTAGAAGGGGTCTGAGCGCAGCAGCGCGCGAAACTTGTCCGCCTCCTTGTTGCTGCCGTCCGCCACACTCTCTACCTCCTGAGGATTGCAGTGAGGGAAAGTGAGAGAATCAGATAGGGAGGGGGACAGGGAGAGAGGAAAGCAGATAATGCACATGCTAAGCGAATGGAGGACTTGTGGTAAAAAAGGTAGAATCTCTTGGCAGTACACTCAACATTCAAAGAGTAGAGACAGCAAAAAAACAGAAGCGCCGCACTGCCCCGCCGTGCCTGAGCCGTGCCGCACCGCCGAGCCGCGTCGCACCACCCGAGCCGCGCCGCCCTGCCGAGCCGCGCCGCCCTGCCGAGCCGCGCCGCCCTGCCGAGCCGCGCCGCGCTGCCTAACTGCCTGGCAATTCTGTTTTTGCTGCTGCATTGCTGCTTCTGCTACTGCTGCTGCTACTGCTGCTACTGCTACTGTTGCTACTGCTGTTCCTACTGCTGCTATTAACGATGGCTACACTCAATGTCCTTGCCTTTGACGCGGAGGGGCGCCCGATTAGGTTTGACTGCTGGCTCGTGGATTTCCAGCTGTACCTACAAAGCCAGGCTAGGGAGGACGTTTCTCTGTTAGAACACGTGTCCGGTACCTGCCGTGTCCCTATCACGTGCTCTTCGTACTCAGTGGCTTTCTGTCCGCAATGCCCTCCCGCCTGAGGAACGAGTCCATTTCGGCCAGCTTAAGACGACGAAGGAACTGTATGACGCTGTAGTTGCTCGTTACTCCTCCCCCTCGTCTGCTGCCCTAGGCCGTATCATGATGTCGTACCTTCACCCTGAGCTGTCTGAGTTCCAGACTGTTGCTGACCTCTTCACCCACCTTCGCTCTAGTGACGCTCGCTACCGTGCCGCTCTCAAGCCGGACTTTCTGGCTGCGAACCCGCCTCCTATGTACATCACACTCTACTACACCGTTACTCGCCTCCCTGACTCCCTCCGCGCCGATAGGGATCACTTTCTTGCTCTCGACCCCACCGAGATCACCCTTACCCTGCTGGAGAATCATCTTCTCGAGGCAGAGAAGAGCTCCGTCGTTGTCGCTGCCTCTCGTGGCACTCCCCGCTCCCCCCTCTTTGAGGGGTGTTCTCCCTCCTCGCGCCCTCCGTTGCTACTGCTGCTGCTGTTGACTTCCTTCGCACTGAGGAGGTCGGTGCTGCATCTGCTCCTAGTGGGAGGCGCCGCAACAGCAAGGGCAAGGGGGGTAAGGGTGGTGGGGGGGGCACTGGAGGGGGTGGTGGCGGAGGTGGTGGCGGTGGTGGTGGTGGGGGTGGAGGCGGTGGTGGTGGCGGGAGTGGAGGCGGTGGTGCCGGCAGTGGAGGTGGCTGGGGTGGTGGAGGCGGTGGAGTGGGCGGAGGGGGCTCGGGTGGAGGTCGTGGTGGAGCTGGCAGGGGCGGAGGCTCTGGGGCGGCGACTGGTGGTGCAGCTCGTGGCAGCGGAGGCACTGGGGGTGGACAGCAGCAGCAACCACGCACCCCTCAGGAGCTTCGTGAGTGGGTGGTTCAGCATGGCTCCACTGGGGCCAATGTTCGTTGCCCGTACGTCCGGCGCACGGGGCTCAGGACTCGTGAGCCCTGTGGGAAGACTGGGCACACTGAGTATCGTAGCTTCTATCGTCTCGAGGATGCCTGGCGCACCGAGTACGGAGATGAACTGGCTCCCCCCAACTGGTTAGCGTTGCTTGGGAAGGGGGTAGATGTGTTTGCTCTTGACTTTGCCAAGATCAATGCTGAAATCTATGCTATGTTTGCTGGTGCTGCTAGTGTTGAGGGTGACTGTTACTCGTGTGTGCCGCGCGCTGCTGGTGTAGAGGCTGCTGCTCTAGGTGCTTGTGAGTCCGCTGCTGCAGGTACTGCTTCTGCTAAGGCTTTGCACACGTTCACACTTGACTCAGGCGCGTCTCGCTGTTTCTTTCGCGATTGCACCACAGTCACACCGCTCACAACACCTGTCCCAGTCTCTCTGGCTGACCCCTCTGGGGGCCCAGTTGTTGCACGAGCCTTCACTGTGCTCCCTTGTCCGGCTGTCCCCTCCGGTTCTCTGTCCGATCTCCACATCCCCTCGTTCTCTAAGAACTTGGTGAGTAACGCTGTCCTCCAGTACAAGCTGGTCAGTACCTTTACTCCTGGAGGTGAGCGTGTGGCGATCTGTTCGGACTCACGCACTGGCGAGCACCTCGCCACGTTTACCCGGAGCCATGGGTCTAGTCTGTACACACTGACCACTGAGTCCGCACAGGTGGCTGCGTCTGGTCAGGTGGCTGCATCTGCACAGGTGGATGCGTCAGGTCAGTTAGCTGCGTCTTGTTCGTGCCGGCTACTCTCGCACCAGACTCTCCTCTTGCACCACCGTCTTGGTCACCCCTCCCTACCGCGCTTGCGGGGCATGCACTCTCGTCTCCTTGTCTCTGGTCTCCCCAGGTCCCTGCCCCCGCTCCCGCGCTCGCTTGCACCGCCGTGCATTCCCTTCGTCGAGGGGCGACAGCGCGCCGCTCCTCACTCCTCGTTTCCGCCGACCATTGCTCCTCTGCAGACTCTCCACACGGACGTGTGGGGCCCAGCCCGCGTCCGTGGACAGGACCAGGAGCGCTACTTTCTGCTGATTGTTGACGACTACACGCGATACACCACGGTCATCCCCTTGCGGAGCAAGATGGATGTCCGAAGAGTTTTAATCGACTGGATCATCGCTGTTCGTCGCCAGGTGAGCAATCGGTTTGAGCAGGACCTCCGGGTCCTGCGGCTGCACTCTGACAGAGGCGGTGAGTTTTCCTCCGTCCTCCTTCGGGACTTTTGTCGTGCGGAGGGCATCCGCCAGACGTTCACGCTTCCGGCCTCTCCACAGCATAATGGGATTGCTGAGCGCCGCATTGGCTTAGTCATGGACGTTGCTCGCACTTCCATGATCCATGCGGCTGCTCCCCATTTTCTGTGGCCGTTTGCGGTCCGATACGCCGCGCATCAGCTCAACCTCTGGCCCCGTGTCTCTGTGCCAGAGACCTCGCCTACACTGCGTTGGACGGGGGAGGTTGGCGATGCATCGGCGTTTCGGGTCTGGGGCGCGCTCTCCCTTGTTCGCGATACCACCGCGAGCAAGCTCTCCCCTAGCACTATCCGCTGCGCCTTCCTTGGCTTCCCCACCGATGCCCCGCCCTGGCAGTTTTACCACCCTGTCTCGGCCGGGTCCTGTCTTCACAGGACGTCACCTTTGACGAGTCGGTCTTTTTCTACCATCTCCACCCGCACACGTCTTCCCCGCTCTCCTTGCTCCCCTCTTCCTAGTCTCAGGTTCTCCTCCGGTAGACCCCCTCCCCCCGCAGGGTCCTGCTCCCTCAGGTGTGTCTCAGGCCGACCCACCCCCCTTGGTTGAGCCTTTGGAGGTCTCCTCTGACTCCTCTGGCCCAGCTGAGGGGGGTGACCCCACGACTGATGGCACGGCGGGACTCGCCGCTCCCCGCGCTTGGAGACCCCTCCTGGTTTTCCGCCTCGGCCGTCTTCGCCGCCTCCGCAGCTTGTCGATGTGGGCTCTGGTGGTTCTGGGGGTGCTGAGTCTGGGGGTGCCGGTTCTGGGGGTGCTGAGTCTGGGGGTGGTAGAGCTTCTAGAGCTGGAGGTACTGGAGGTGCTGGAGCTGCTGGTGCTGGAGGCACTGGAGGTGCTGGAGCTGCTGGTGCTGGAGCTGCTGGTGCTGGAGGTGCTGGAGCTGCTAGTGCTAGAGGTACTGGAGGTGCTGGAGCTGCTGGTGCTGGAGGTGCTGGAGGTGCTGGAGCTGGAGGTGCTGGTGCTGCTGGTGCTGTAGGTACTGGAGCTGCTGGTGCTGGAAGTGCTGGAGGCGCAAGTTTTGGGGGTGCTAGAGCTGCTGGAGCTGCTGGTGCTGGAAGTGCTGCTGGTGCTGGAAGTGCTGCTGGTGCTGGAAGTGCTGCTGGTGCTGGAGGCGCTAGTTCTGGGGGTGCTAGAGATGCTGGAGCTGGAGGTGCTGGAGGTACTGGAGGTGCTGGAGCTGCTGGTGCTGGCGGTGCTGGTGCTGGAGGTGCTGGAGCTGGAGGTGCTGGTGGTGGGGAAACACTGGCGGTTGGGGCACAAGTGACACAGGCGGATGGGGAACAGCAACCGGCGGCGCCACAGGCGGATGGGGAGCAGACGCCGGCGGCAACACTGGCGGATGGGGCGCAGCATCTGGCGGCGAGACGAGCGGCTGGGGAGCTTTCCGCGAGGACCAAAGGGGGGAAGAAGAAGAAGAAACTGCGCAAGTTGAGGTCGAACCTCCCGTTGTTCCACTTGGACGTCCTCCGCGCCGCCCTGCATTAGCACCGCCGCCACCTGACATCCCTCCAGTAAGTGACCCCTGGGACACCATCGACTGGGGGAACGAGCCGTCAACCCCGCGACGTTCCGTCTACGGGCCTGCCCCCGAGCCACGCGAACCCACATTCGTCCCGGGAACCATCCCCGGAACCAACATTCATCTCTCTGTTATCCTTGACAGAGAATTCCTCGCGCTAATGTTGACAACGACGAACGCTGAAGAAGAGGCAGAAGAAGCAACGGCGGCACCTGCCCACGCACCTGATGAGGACCCCGCAGAAGCACTCGCGCGCTACATGCGCACCTCCGGATTCCGCGCCGACGATGCCATCTGGCACCAGCGCTTAGGTCACCCCTCGCGCGTGACCCTGAAGAACTGTATCGAGGCCGGCGTATTCGCGCCCGGCGCACTCCTGTGCCCTGACGGCTCCGAAGTAAGAGGCGGAACTCACTCGCGCACCTGCACCATCTGCCCTGAGGTCGCGTTGAGTCACTAGCCCTTCCCTCTGCTCGAGCCAGGACCCAACCGCTATGCCAAGTTGGAGAAAGTCTATAGTGACTTCCTTTACGTGGGACATTGCGGCATCAACGATGAGCTCTACACGCTCACCTTCGTCGACGCCGGAACGCGCCACGTGTGGATCGTAAACGTGGAAGCGCGCAGCAGAGCATACGAAGCATTCCGTCTGTGGCTGGCGCACGCGCAGCGGCAATCCGGGGAGAAGCTGAAGATCTGGCAGTCTGACGACGCGGCGGAGTTCAGGAGCAAGGAATTGCAAGATTACCTCGTGCAGAAGGGGATCGAGCACCATATCTCTC